AATGCATAAATTGGTGACCGGACTAAAGCAGCAATGTAAACAAGTGTGTAAGAGCATTTAAAATCGACAGTAAAACGACCAACGTAGTACAAATACAAAGAAAATACATCTCAATATGGGCGCTGCCATCTTTGTTTTTTGCGGGTTGTACGTTCGTCCTCGTTTAACTCTGTATACACTGAGGAGCCCCGAGCTGGACGGCTGAAATTACAACCAAAAGGGGGTGTGTCTCAGTGAAATGTTGCGAGATAGCTGCAAGATTTACACTTTCCAACTGGGGCTCCGTGTTCACGAGACAAATGGAAAGCACCGTAATATCAGCATTAAACTCAATTATTACTAATTATTGTTACTTTGTTGCTGATAATTGAGTTGAAGTCTATTTATTGCACTAATTCTAAGAGCTAAACACAATTATACACTGAAGATGAAAAAAGCCAAAAGAATTTGAACAGACTATTTTTATTACTTAAATTACTTCCGTAAAATTGCATCACTTTTTATAGGTTTGTTTCGATCTACACGAGATGTTTTACCATCTTGGAACTGTGTTTGTTGCGGTTAGACGCACATGCATATAAAAAATGTTCACCTCAGCAGAGCTCCTTCGATGTCCCTCTGCTTGGCAGGGGGGCCGCCGCTTCCAATGTCTGAGAGACTACGCCTGGGAGAGGACACAGAGACAGTGGTTGGAGGTAAGCAAGCAATTTAAAAACAATTAACTCTGATCTTTACAAAGATTTTTATGTCAGTAAGAACAAATCGACATCTGCATGTTTTGCCAGCTGTACTGTAGCATTTTCTCATTTTTATTACACTTTGTTTTCACAACCAAATACAGCAGAATTATAAAAAAGATTTATGTAGGCACTAAAATGTGTCATTGTTTAAACAAGTGTCCTCTAACTGCTTTAGAGCGGGGATGATTCAATTTCGTAGTTTGTGGTGCAGTTGGATTGTACACTGTTAGATTTGGACATGTTTAGTTTACCCTCATTCATAAACTGTGAATTAATGGATATAAAATGAACAAATGGCAGCAGGAAAGTCATTTCAAATGTCATATCTCTTCCAACCTGTAGTTGATGGGAAGCTGTGCAATAAAAATCTTGCGAGCCAATACTACAGATTTGTCAACATCTGAGCGAACATAAGTGTCGTTGCATGAAGGAACCAGACCACGGCTTTACCTGAGCAGGTTGATTCCTCTGCCTCTACCTCCACCGGGGCCTGCTATGGGGCCGCCGAGCCTACGGATCTGACCCGGTCTGTAAACACAGCAAGAGTCAACTCAAAACCAAAACCAGCTTCAAAGCAACTCATTCAAACTGTTTTGTCGACAATGACATGGTAACTTTGTTCGAAACCCAGGCGTTTGGTACCATAAATGAACAGATGTGTCTGTGGCGACACCGGGTCGACGCCTACAGGGCCCAGCGACAGTTGGCCTACTAGGTTGTATATTTCACTGCAAGGTTAGGAGTAATTACTAATGCAGGGTTTGTTTATTTATTTATTTATTTGCATGCTAATACATTAGTCTGAACATAGGTAAGGGTCTGTATGTTCAGCTAGCACAAAACTATCTATGGAGGCGGTAACGTTTGCTAGCTAGCTAGCTAACCGACTCATGCTACCACATATGGCTAGTCGTTTGAATGCTAGCAAGTTGGTTCGCTTATCACTACAAATAGGCCGAGAGCGAAATAACCACTTGGGCTTTTTTACCTTGATTCATTAGGATCACGTCCCGTTAATTTGCGAATATTATCGTCCACATTTTTCAAGCTTTCCTTGGCTTTCTCGAGCTGGTCTTGCAAGCTCCGCACTACCACCGCCATCTTGCTTCAGGTTAGCGCGAATCATGTGTTTCTCTTCTTCTTCTACTGTTCCTCGCTTTTTTTTTTTTTTTTTCTTCTTCGGGTTTACCGCCACCCGACATGAGGTGCATTACCGCCACCTGCTGCTCAGTTTTGATCGTGCAAGTGATTGCTTGCATACAGATTGTAATGACACAATTTTCTCACTAAAATGTGTATTTCTCTTGATTTTTACGTTTGTCCACATTATCGCTGTCTGGAAATAATCACAATATGTTGTATAAAAGTGACAAAGACTGGAATAAGTGACATGTTATTTCAAGGGCATGCAAGTACTGTGGCCGCATGTTGCTACTTGCATTAATCTTCACACCCACATAAAAACAGAGGCCAGTTTGTTTCATAATATTTCCTGAAAAACATCTTAAGACAAACAAAGAACCTATCATCTATTTCCATAAGAGCACGGAAGAAAGCTTTGATGCAAAATAGAACTCTTTTTAGGGGACCCCAAATTGCTCCCCAGGACTGATACTACCATAACTAGTATTATAGCTGTCAGTCAACTCAAATTGACTTTAACTGGATGGTGTTAAATATAGATACCAACAACTTCCATGCAGTATGATGAGCTTTTTTTTTTTTTTTTTTTTTTTTTACCCAGCATTAACATAATAAGACAGGATTCTTAACACAAGAAGCATCTGACTAACAACTGGTAATTGCAAAATACACTCAAAATGGAAGTAGTGGAAAGCATGCGTTTCTGCTGTGTTTTCTTTATTTTATTGAATTAATTCTGAGTCACAGGGTACAAGCACTCTTTCCCCTTCTGGCAGCCAGGTGTTGTGTGCCTGCCTGTCTGTTTTGAACAAACCGCACAGAGGTGAGAACACCAGCTCTGAATTGTGATTTTTAGATTGAAAATAAAAACCCTTTGAGTTCTCTTGCAGCTCTTGCATTTCAAAGTAGCAACCCAACAATCAAACCACAGCTGATTTCCTGGTTTATATATCTGCATGTAGATTTCTGCTGTTTCACTGATGTTAACATCAACTTCCCTCTGCTTCATTTACATCTAATATATATATATATATGCCTGTGTATGTGTATGTGTAGAGTGCATCACAACACAAATCATTGATTGTATATAATAAATGCACTGTGGCAGTGTGTGTTACACTGCTGTATTTGTGAACTTGATGAATTCTGTGCCTGTGAGTACAGTATGTAAATATACATGTTCAATGTGCAGTCAGTATTTACACTGAGCCTATATTTTGAGGTATACTGTCTATCACACAATGATTCAGTCAGCATTAAAGGGAAACATACACAGTCTTCTGGTGTCATTTTATGTATATATGTCATCACAAAAAAATGCTTTCTTACATTTTATTTTCCAGAAATATTTAGTATTTTTAGTGATGTGACTTAAACATCTACCAGAAACACTGTGACAAAACATTGCCACTAATATGACCACAATCTTATAGAATTCAACCAGGAAACATATTTGTATTTAAAATAACATCTGCAACAAAATAATAATAACAAACAATAATAATAAATCAAAATTTCTCCTGTCTGTTGTCTTGGTATTATTCGACATTCTTCTGGGGAATGATTAAGCATTGTTTGTCACCTCCGTGGTAAAAATATCTGTTATTGTTTCAGCTTAGTTGCACAACACCAGCAGGGTAACCTTCTGATTATCCAGACGTGAACGAGCTCTTTGTCTGAGCTCTGAACAAAGCTGAAACCAACTAAAATGAGCAGTGTGCATTTTCCTCTGTAGTGTTGGCAAAGGTTATGGGCAAATATTCATAGCATCAAGGCTACTTATAAAATACATCATTAGACAAAGCAAAGCTGGAAAACTGATCCTATTAAAGTAAGCGAGTAGAGTTGCACCCTTCTTCTGGATTTCAGGTGTGGCTGCATCATTATCATTCTTATCTGTGGACTGTGGGTTTTTTTCTCCCTCAGTATGATCATTTGGGTGGTTAGGTACTCTAGCTGGCTGTTTTTTATTACATGTCGTATAATTGTATCATATCTTTGATTTTTATTGATCAAAAAAAGTGTGAGCTGAGGAAAAGGAGGTTTGTTGTCAGTATCCCTTTCTCCTCCATTCACCTCCTCTCTCTCTGCTCATCAGTAACCAATAATTTTCCCTCCATTTCCCATTGTTGCGTTGCCACGGTGACATTGGTTGAATCTCATTTGTAAGTTGTTTCATCTCGCCTCCTACCCAGAGGGAAAACCCTGCAGTGTGGGGATGTGTTAGCGGGTCTTTCTGGAGTGCCTGGTCCACTGAGAGGAGCTCATATCAGTGTTTCCCTCCTCATCAACTGTCCTGCCTTGGATGGAGTCCATTTCTGTGACCATATATACAAAGTATATAAAGATATATAAAGCAGAAAAACTGATTGGAGACTATTTGAGCAAATGGACAAATACATCTATCTTGGCTGGGTGACTATGAAGGTCTTTTTTAGTCATGTGCAACTGAAGACCTCCACTCCTACTGGGTCCTTTGGTCAGCTAGTCCTGGAGCAGTACCCGTCTGTGACTCACTCAGCCAGTACATCCGGTTTTGTTTCACCTCCACCAGTGAGCTTGTACTATGACTGAGGTAACCAGCAGTCAACTGGAGAGGTGGTTTAACTGTAGATGGCTTCCACTGTGGTTCAACATCTCGGTACCATTAAGCTGTAGAGCTGCACTGATTAGTCCATTAATGTGAATATTTTCTGGGTTCTTAAGTCCTCTATGACAGTAAACCTAATATCTGCGGGTTGTGGACAAAAGACATTTGAGGATGTCACCTTGGGCTTTGGGAAAAAGTGAGCAACATTTCACCATTTTCTGGACCAAACTACTAATCGATTAATGGAGAAAATGATTGACAGATGAATCAATAATGAAGCCATCTATTCAGCTGTAGGAACTCTTAATGATCAGCCATCCACTGACCAACTGAAAGATGCAAGAAGACTTTAAAACCTGAAGACTCCAATAACCAGCTTCTTGTAACCAATGCTAACTAACCCTCTAAACAACACACCATCTTTTAAACCCTAGGAGGTGTGGGGAGTCTTAGCGCAGTCTACCCAGAATGCTGCTGAAGCTGAAAACAGGAGGTAAAGACACAATAAGACAATGGAAGCAAACAACTGTTTTTAATGCTTTTATTCACTGACTAAAAGAAGAGAAGCATTCATTCAACATTAATTCAATTCAACATTCGGCAGGTTGACCCCTCAAGTGTACTCCATCTGTCAGTTAAGAGGTTTTACATGGAGGTTTGTAATCTATCCTCCCTTTACTCCACAACAGAACCATGGATCAACACTGTTCTTTATGATAAAATCTGTCCTCTCAGCAGGAGAGGACTCTTTCCCGGCAGACTAAACCAAAAAAACAGCTGGAAATGATTTCAGTCTTAAATTTACTCAACAGCAGTTTCACAAACATACATTAAAGTCAAGTCCTCAACTAAACTGCTCTTATATATGGACAATAGGGGGCTGTTTTTGCGCTGGAACCTTTTGTTGCTGGTTAGGGCAAGTCTAAAACCATGCTGTTGATAAACCAGCTTAGGTGTGTTTGAAGCCATACAGCTCTGTCTGAGTCATGCAGATACATTTTAGTTAAAGACTACAGTCAGGTGTTTGTAAAACTGTGTACAGATCAGATTTGAAAGTTTTTGTTTAAAATAGGCACCATGTTATTTGAAATGTAGTCCAGCTGTGTTTTGGGTCCTGTCTGGTTACCTGCTTACAGGAAGAAGGTAAAACCCACTGCTATGTGCTCACTTTAACAAACACAATCACACAGGAACGTAACGCTCAGAATATTCAACATTGAGGATGGTAAAACCATTTTCGCGAAAAACACACAACAACATAGCTTCTGATTTACAAAGTCTGTGTGATTTCATAATATACTTCATGTTCATAAATTGAACCCGGACATGTGTTGCATAAGAGTATAACACGGTAATGCATTGTTGATACCTATACAAATATGCACTGTGAGAGTTTATATATCTATTTATATAGTTTATATTTCTTCCTCTATGGTTTTCTAAAGACGCAGCCGGGCGCTGTCAGCACTGCTTGTGCCCCTTTGTGGCCACTAGTAAGACTGCTGTTATTGCAAACTGTCCTGATTTTAAACAAATGCACAACATTCGTACCACGATAAAACTAGGGGCCATCTAGCCAGTCTCACAGAGACCAAGAGTGAGCCCGCCGTCACCGCTGCTGTCGCTGGGCTGGCTGACCAGAATCAAAAGATCTTAAAACTAAAATGATAAGATTTCATAAATCATCATAAGGCCAAGTATTGTCATTGCAAGTTCTTATTAGTTTACGTCTTCATTTCTACTGCATGACAGTGAGAAAAAGAAAAAGAAAATATAAAAACAGGAAAAAAATTGAGAAGAGTGTGGATTATATGCATTCCTCTTGCATAGTTGTGAGGCTGGACTGGGCAGCAGGCCTGCCTGCCTGGCTAACTAGGAGCTTTGGCTCTCCAGACTTGACAAGAAAGACTTTGTTTAGCAGCCAGAAACATCAGAGCCACAGTCGCTGAGATCTAAATGAAGATAGTTGGCTGACACTGAGCATGAATATCTATCAGTTCCTTGATATAGCCAGGCACTACACACCAACCTCTAGGGTACGCACCAGAGCTACTGACAGAGTTTGGCCAGGTTATGCTATCAGTGCCATTTTGTTGTTTCTTCTCTAGAAATTCAGTGTGGCAAGTACATGATAATACCCTTAATAAGACTGTTATGCTGGGATCATCATCATTAGCTGGCTGGAAAACAGATTTAGAACTAGAGAATCCAATCTTCCTCTAAGGCTCTCAGTGTGGCTAACTGCTAATGGCCATGCTCTGTGTGAACCTCCCCATCACCCAGATTATGTCAAGCCTTATACACATCTATCTATATCTGTTACACAGGACTGATTTTATACCAGTGCAATGCACATCCAGTGTTTTTCTCCAAGTAACAGAAACATATAATAGGATGTTAATCAGATTCTTTACATTCCTGCATGAGTCCAGCCTTAGGTGAGCTCATTCAGAGTCTTGCATGTACTGATAGTAGTCTATGGTCATAGCATTTAGACAAAAAAAAAAAAGAAATCAAACAACAAATAGGAAGTGTTTGAATTCTCACATTGTGAAACCCTGTCTTTTAATCCCTTCAGAAACAGGACACCTTCCCCAAATCTGCTTTAGGGAAGGTTTTAGTCCCAGAACCATCTTACTACCTCTTTCCTACAGCTAGTTTGAGTATACTTTCCAAAAACACCCAGAGAGCCAACATTATAAACTCTCAAGCTGGCACTGAGTCTGAGCAATAATCGAAGTGGAAATGAAACTGGTCATGTGTGATGTGTGTCTGCCTGTGGCTCTGAGCCTGTGTTTAGACTGATGCAGATCGGACACAGTCTGCTGCTTTGGTACTAAAATAACACACGCTCACATTTCTGTCCATGTCAGTGGTATTAGTATTGGCTATTAAGTATTAGCAAAAAAGTGTCAAACCCAACTCTTTATATATGGGCCTGGTAGGACAGACGTATCCAGATCCTTTTTTATATATATATATATATATATATATATATATATATATATATATATATATATATATATATATATATATATATATATAAAGTTCTGCGATCACAACACTTTTAATAAGCTGTCAAAGCAAACTGTCTCAGATGGACTACATGAGAGGCCAGCTCTGTGGATTCAATTAGGCCACAGGGGCCCTGTTATCTTCCAGGATTTCTATATGAATGCATATAAAGAGCACAGGGGGAAAAAAACAAAAAAAACATAAACAGGTCAATAGGGCAGATCGAACTGGCTGCAACCACATCAATGTACAGTAACCGCGGGTAATGGTCTTCTGAATAACTGACACCCCATCTCCCCTCTAGAGCCTTCAAAGCTGTCATGTAATGGCAAAGCTCATTAAAAGTAAGGCTCTGCTAGCTGTGTGTCAATCAGTCTCTCTGTGTATACACAGTATAGTCATACACAAACCTCTGTCTGCATATGGTGTATAAATAAGTCCATGTGCCCCTGTGTATCCAAAGCAAACATGTACTGTGTGTATTAAATATGCAGACTGACTTCCTCTCACTATACTCTGATGTTCTTTAACCTGGCAGACTGATTCAGTGGGTGATACCAACTCATTTCATGGACAGAGTAACTACTCTTTACATTTTAGCACAGTCAGTGTAAGTTGCTTTCACATGTGACCTTTAGTGTACCGGACACAAAAGGCCCCAAAATGGCCTCAGGATGCTGGTGCATCAAGTGAAAGCAAAGCTTGGCCTTGCAAAAACACATGTTAGAAATACGGTCCACCTCTGAAAGAGCGACACACCAGTTGTAAATGGTATCACACCTCTACTCTGCTCAGACCAGCTGGTAATCTGGTGTGACTGGTCAATACTACCCCTGATCCCTTCGAAAAACAGACACAAGTAAAAAAAAATAGAGTATATATTTATATAGTCTAATTTCCATGCAGACACTTAGTCACGTAGTAAACTGTTTGCTAGTGAGATGGCCTGAGAGACCTCCCATATGGAATGACCTGTTCCTAGCAGATCTCTAGCAGCGAATCACTTTACAGCTCCAAAAAGCCCGGGACTAAACACTTCTCATCAAACTTGACCTTGGCCATGGGCTTGCCAACGTTTCAGATCAGGCACATTGGCCTTTGTCCCAGCTGGGAAGCTACATTCTGTCAGAAAGTAGCTTCTGGAAGCATCTGAGGGAGTGTTTAGTCCCTGACGTGTTTTGATATTAAACCGAACTCTGCGTCCTCCTCGCCTTTAGTTTTACATTCACTCACTTCTCACAGTGAAACAGTTGATGGAGGGGAAAAAAAAAGAGAAAGAGGGAAGAACATGGTGGTGAGCAAATATTGTTGACATGGTCCAACTCCAGACTTCTCTGCTTAAGCCTCTGTCGCACTATAGAAGTACACTGCACTGGACTAGAAAGGCCTTGTTTTGCTGTATGATGACTCAGCAACATGCAGTGTAGACCTTGAATGCCTTTCACAACGAGGAATTTGGCCACATTGTACAAGTTGTGCACCGATGCTGCTTGTTGGATAGAACTGTGCCTTCTGTAACACACATTCTATACAGCTAGTGTAAAATCCTACGTTTCCGAACATAGGGTGCAGCCACTAACACTACATTGGCTAAACCTTTGCATAAAAGGTTTGCTTTGGTCTCTTTTCATGCCAACCACAGAACGACACTTTACCTGGTCCAGCACAGTATGGTCCATAGTATAACAAGGGCAGAGTTTGGACTCACACACACGGAGTGGTAGTAGTCAAGAGTTCAGTGGAAGAAATCAAGAGTGGAGTGGGACTAAGGGGGAAGAAAGAAATGGATGCCAGGATAGAAAGTACTAGAAGGAGGTGAAGAGTAGAGAAGAATACTGGACCAGCCTCCTGCCAGTGTGTGTGTACATGGGCACTTCAGATAGACTTGTGTCTGGGTTAAGTTTGTTCCACTGTGGTCTTTGGCAGCTTGAAACACATCAAGGGAGGAGAACAGATCCAGTGACTCCTAATACCCATAAGAGTGAGCTAGAGGCCTGAGCTATTGTAACTTTCCCTCTGATTGTACCCTGAGAACGAACGATTTCTGTTCCTGTTTCCTGCTGCAGTAGAAGTGATAAGACTACACTGTTGAACACGAGGTCCCCCCCCTTTAAATACACACACAAACGCGCACACACATGCTGAAAACATATGCTGGCTGCACTGCTGACAACTTGTTCCCACACACATTCAGAACATCGTAATCACACATTTCTACTGGATACACTTTTTAAAGATTACATGAAAACATATAATACAGGCACACTCCAAGAGAAATGAAAACATGCCTGTGCTGAAACCCTAGCTACTGTAGCTTCTAATGCTGCTTCCCTAAAGAGTTATCTAAGAATCATAGCAACAACTACAGACAACACAAAGCTGATAACTTAGGGAGAGCAGAGGTTTGAAAATCAGTAAGACTCCAGAAGCTTTCAGGCACAAGATGGCTCAATAGTTTACTACTGGTGATGATACAAAGGGATCAGGAATATGTCATTTTCCCACTGACAGTAGTAAATGCTATGCTGTACTGTGACCATGTTTTGTCAAACTCTATTGGAGTGCAAGTAATTTGCCTGTCAGCATTGCCTTACTGGCAGAACTTTGTCTCACCTCTTCTCTCCTTGCTAGGACAACACTAAAATACTAGCATGTTTTGGTGAAGAAACAAAAACCAACAGAATAAAGAAGACATTGTTTTGCAATGCCTTCTTGCTCTCATGCATACCGTCTACATCATCTTTCCTCTTTCTCTCTGCACTTTTGTCTCCTAAATGTTGTCAAAATATTTCTATATCATAAATCGTCACTTTTGATAATTTGATCATTTGTCCTGGGGCCTCCTTACTGGAAGACCTTTTTGACTGTATGCAAGTGGAATTCATGATTAGAACAGCACTTAAATACATTTTCCAAATGGGAATATTATAGCTGAATTACTTTTTTTTTTATTCTGCTCTAGCTGACCATAGTCTGGGAAAACCCACAGCCTCTCTTTTTATTCTAGTCAGAAAAGATCCACAAGGGCCAAGCTGGACTGCCCAAACAGTGAGATCTGCCTTCTAGTGTGGAGCCAATAACATGTGGGGACTTGAGTAGACAGGAAATTGAGGAGGAAGCACACATAGTGGGTAAAATTAGCTTTTTAAAATCAGTTGTTTGTAAAAAAAAAAATCCATTTGCTCAGTTCAGATGACCTAGGTTGAAATTACATTCTACTGTAGGCTGCTGTGGTTCTCCCCTCTGTATCAGGTGATGCCTATACACAGTACACATTTATAACAGATTAAATCTCTCACATAAAAGGAGCAGAGTTGAGCTCTAAGAAAAAAAAAAAAAAAAAAAGATGAGAGGAAACATTGAGGAGAGGAGGAGGAAGATGAGATAAAAACCAACATATTTTGGTCTGAATGTGTTACGTTGGTATTGCTAACCCCTCTGAGTGTTTGAGTGTACAGCACTATATACAGCCACAGGCAGCCTTTAACAGAAACTCTTGGTACCAGGGTGCATTTATCCTGAGATATGGACCAAGGACTACTAGAGAGATTATCATGGCTAAACCATCAAGGTCCCTTAACAGATGAGCAAACATTTGGTAACAACAGGCCCACCACTAGGACCTATTCATTCAGAACCAAGCAAAGTGCTGGCACGCTGTATAACTCTGGTTCCATATCAGTCCATGGAAAAATCACAGGTCAAGTTGTAAACTACAGACCTTGATATGGTCATTCAGTCTGCAATGTCATTGCTGTGACCTCTAAAGTGCCATGGCGTGCACAACAGTAACTGAGCTGGAGCCATTTGGGAGGGTGTCATTCCAAACAATGGCTAGTTGACAGTATTTACTTACAAAAGATAGGTGTTCTACAGCACAACCTAACTTTGATTTTCCTGGTAAAATCCCAACTCAGCTCAGGAAATGCCATAATAAAAGATACCAGTATATCACATCAGTCACAACACTGGGGCCTCAGATGTAACCATACTTGGCCTAGGTCATACACAGGACTAGGTTTTCGTGGAGCACAAGATATTTGGTCATGCTTGGCTTGAGCCCAGAACATGGCATGCTTGTACTTCCACAGAGCCTGAATAACATTTATTTCATTTATTAGGGCAAAGGCAATTCCGTAGTAATATTCAAACATTAGAATCGGACTATGACTAGGATTCGATCAAAGTAAAGCCTTCACCCTAGTTAATGAAAGCCAGTTGCACATCCAGACAGAAGATCCACTGTGCCAGACAGAAATTTCACCCCAGACTACATTCAGTTCAGACATTAATTGGGCCCAGCAGGTCCTCTATTGACAGCATGGATTTTCTCCCACTCCACAGCCACTCTCTGTCCCCCACAACATGGAGATATTAAACATGTGCAATGAGCAGATTGGTTTTGCCATTCTTTAGTCTTTATCAACCTTAATCTTTGAAAACAAATGTATGATTAGGTTTGCTGACCCCCCAACCAAATTGGAGCAAGGGTTTATCAGATGGCAAGATAAACAACATCATTAATAACAACAATAACCACAACAAGAACAACAACAACAACAACAACTGTATCCAGGAAACATGGGGCTGTTTCCAAGGCAACTGTGACTCAAGAGGAACTAAAAAAAAGAAGGACAATATCTCACACTAACTGATTGTTTCACACACCCTACTCGACATCATCACCATCACTGTCCTGGTCATAGTGATGTTAAAAGCCTACCTGAGACTGACGAGAGAAAAATGTTTGCCACAGAAATACGCCACATGACCCAAAACCTTGTTGTGCTGTAGGTGCCACTTCTTGGAAAAAAATAACCAGCCTTGGCCATCAGTGGAACCTACAATGTCCAAACTCATTTAGTCAGCAGCTGTGGCTGTTGTGGCAAGATATGATTCTGCCCATTTTCTGTGGCAAATATAGCTATACAGTAAGCCTTCAATATAAAACAAAAACCCGACTGGCCAAGAGAATGACAGAATGAGAGTCAAGTTAAATTCAGTACATCCTTTTTCTTTTCCCTGTTCTTTATCGTGAAAAGTTTAACTCCGAAACAAGACCACCATTGAGAAAAACTAGTTCCCGCCTACAAAATTGCTGGCATGACCTTAGGAAGCTGTGCCTACAGAATACTGGTGTTTTTGCATGGCCTTACCATGAACTTGGAAGTAGTCACAGATTTCTCAAAACGCAGATATATATTATATACACACGGGTATTGTGAAATGAAAACCTATTTTCTCTTTAGAATAATGTGCAACTATCTGAAGATTTTAAATCTCAGAGCCCTTCATATTATGACGCACTCCTGTTCTTGTCTTTGACTTGATGACTTGACATTTCCATACAAAAAGGGCTCTGGAACCAGTTATACTAGACAGACAGTTTTGACCTCTAGATGAGAGGAGAGCAAAGGCAGCTATATTCAGCCTGAATATAGAAAAAGACGCAAAAGATTTACAACTAGCTCATTACCGATCAAAACTTAACAGAGTAGGGGGGCGTTGTATTGTGACGGGCTGAATCTTTTAGTTTGGCTCTGAATGTAAGTCGGAAGACGAGGCTCCCGATTTCATCGACTAGTGAGGTTTACTGAGAAGTCGACAAGTGAGCGGGGTGGGAAGTGTGTTGGCTGCACACGTAACAATATTTTCCGTAACACTATCAGTAAGGTGCTCAAAATCCTTAACAAAACCATTTAGCTTTGAAAAGTCATTCACTTCACAATGGTCATACATCTGTGCCATAGCACTGACATGGCTGCATTAAATCTGATGAGCACCTGCCACAGTCAGCCACATTACAGTTGAGATTCCCACCCTGCTGGCAAGGCTCTTAAACTAGTGGACAAGTGAACACAGGGCTCTTTCAGAGTAGAGCAACAGCAGAAGCATTTAAGGTTGTGTTACCGAAGAAGTGACTGATCGGTTAGTTTACAAACTCCTAACTTTTGCTAGTGTGTGAGTAGAACAGACAGACAGACGGACACAGAGCTAAGGATAAAAAAAAAAGGAAAGAAAAGAGAAATACTTTCACAACTAAAGCCAGTGGCTTTTGTCGGAACACACATCCCCCCCTAAATCCCACTGGTCCATCACTCAACCCGCCTGCCTGTCCTGTTCTAGCATTGAGCAGGATAATAATATATCTGTATTTAAATACACACAAAGCCTATACAGGCAAGGGAACCACCACACAGGAAAACAAGGTTATACACAGAGCGGGGAGAGATGAAAAGCAGTCAAATAAAAAAAACAAAAAAACAAAAAAACAAATGAAAGTTACATCATACAGAGGTTCTGGAGGTTATTATGGTGAAGGAGAGACATCGAGCTCTGAATACTTGTTGATCAAGACCAGACCAGACTGGGCCATGCCAGACCAGAGGGCATTAGAAGCAGCAGAATGACCTGTTTTAGCAGACAAATTAAAAATGGGCATGACTCAAGTCTTGTCTGTGGTCAGAGATCACAGATTGGTATGACTTCAAACTGAATGAATATCACATTTTAATTAGAATATCCAGTTTTAATTGGATAGTATTAATTTGAAAAAGTATTTAAAATATCAAAGACTGAATTGGTTTTTCCAAGTCACTGGCTAACTAGATAATCAAGAGGCAATGCTAGAAAACAGGGAATCATTTGGAAAATGGTAGGCCTTGATTGTGTGCTAAAATCCCTGTGAAAGAAATGCAAAAAATAAAAGTAAAATAAAAACAATCAGCTCACATCACTACACATAAATGTAATTCATAGATTGTTTTAAGATCCAGTTTTTCACTTAACTCTGCTTTTGGCCTGGTACAGAGGTCTGAGTTGACTCAAACTTGGTTGGTCTGGCCTGGTCTTGACACAGTTTAAGCTGTGTTGAGTTGGATTTGCCATCCATGACTACATGCCCATGCTGAAGGTGTTCAGCTCGCGGTGGAAGTGCTGGGTGGGTTCGGACAATACCAGGCTGGAATCCAGGCAGGGGTGCCAGACACGGCCAAGGCCCAGTGAAACCTCCTTGACCAGGTTATGGACCGGATCCCCTTCCATGCACACCGACTGGTCCGGATCGAAGTCGATGCTCTCCTCAGAGACGGTAAGCACGCGAAGACTGGAGCCTCGCAGACGAGAGATGGCCACCAAGTTATGGGACCATACAGTGTAACCTAGAGCGAGAGATGTGTTCAGGGAGGTTGGAATAATCTTGCCGATATTAAGGATAAATAATGAATATACAGCTTTCTACTTATTGGGTACAAAACATGACATAATATATGACAATAAAATGAATATAAGAAAAAACACGTGGTTGAGAATGGCCATGCTTGCAATTATGTTTTTAATGCCGTTATCTCAAGATCACAATTTAACTGATATTTTTATCTCCAGAAATTCTTGAAATAACGAGATAATTTATGAGAAAACGACTTTTGTTTTCTCAAGATCATGGGAAAATTATGAAGAACTCAAAAATGAGTGTCTGGTTAATTAGATTACAGATTTCAGCATTCAATATCACTGCCATGACTAACGGGGAGGATTTCTAATCAACCTGAAAAGAGCTGTTACCAGAATGTACATCTGAGATGTAAGCTATTCATTTCCTGGCAGCACCCTGCAAAGTCCACCTTTTCACACACACTTGGTACTCTGTGCATTTTGGTCAGTATGAAAATGAATATTAACCGCCACACCGCATGCCATCCTCCATGCATTGTCCATTATGTTGAACCAATGCTACATCTATAATATGCCATCCAAGCATGCTGGCATTGGACTCCTGATCTCTGATAAACATTATAAGTAAGAAGAGGAAATAACCTTGAGAAAGGTTTGATTATCTTGTTATCTCAAAATATCTCAAGATACCAAAGCTTCTTTTGAGATAACAGTTTAAAGCAGTTCAGATCACACCAATCAAGCCTAAACCAATGTTTACACTATGCTTCACTACCACAACAACAGCTTGTGTTTGCCATCATAATATCAACATCAACTCACCATGTATCACCAATACAGCCAGCTGAGTACATCTCCATGCCAAGAGGACCAACGGGTCTTCGTTTCGATTCACACTGAGGTCAGGGAAGTCGGGGTCATCCCTCAGGAGCAGGAAGTGAGTCAGCGTTTTGTTGTACTGCTGAGAGATGAGTTCCAATGTGGCGTCGGACACCAGTGTGCTGTAACTATCGAGGTGGAGGCGCTCCAGAGGAAGGCTCGGCTTTAGGACCCGGAGGAGCTCGGAGCTGTCGACCTCCAGGGCCATGATGTACACTCGCAGGTTGGCACTCACACGAACCTGGGGAGGAGCAGGTAAACTTGACTGACGTACACATGGAGACTTGTACTTACCAAAAAGTGGATGTAACTGTTGGTTCATTGGCATAGGACATTTCAACCAACACTGACATCATTGAATCAATTAGAGCTGGCTGGGGGCCAGAGAGACAAAGATGCTGCATTACCAGAGCCTTCCAATCATCCTCTGTAGCTGTTCCTTCTAATGGTTTAAACTCCAGGGCGGCGCCATTGAGCAGCAGGGAGAGGCGATGCAGTGGAGTTCGGCGTGGAGATGCCAGCAGACCACAAAGCTCAGATGTCAAGTCAGAGAAATCCAGAGCCAGAGAATGAAGATTAGATAGACGATCCATCTCTGACGGTGAGATGAGGGGACCTGAAGAAAATTCAGAAGATGTGTCATGGATTTAAACTAATATAATGCTTGGTTTTTTAACTGCATTGTAAATGTTCTATACAAACAGATTCCACCCACACATACCCAGCTGGTGGTCCAGTAAACTGAGGTGCTGCAAGGTCTCAGCGGAAGGATTTGACAGGCAGGCTAATGAGCAGGGAGTCACCAGACCCAGCATGAAGCTACAAGACAACCACCTCAGCTGCCTGCTGTTGGACAACAACTCCATGAACAACTGCTGGATTCTGCAGAGAGCACAGGGGAAGGATAATGAAAAAAGGGTTGAGGAGAATTAGCTTCAATTCACTTTACCAGCTTGACTACAACTTCCTGCAAGTCAAATTTAAGACACAGAGAGAGCTGTTTGTGCCAGTTCAAATCAAATTAATTTCAAATTTCATGTGAACAAAGAAAAATAGGATAAAGACCAGCGTATACATTTGTGCAAAGAGAAAGATATGTAACCGAAAAACACTACGCCAAGGAAAATATTTTATGCTTTTGAATAAGAATGTACACATATATTTGGCATTATTTGGCTAATTTGAGGTTCATAAAAACAGTCCAACATAATCTAGATTGTGCCAAATCCTCCAGACCATAAAGTAAAACATAAAAGGTATGAATTGACATCACATTTTCATGTGATGCCACCCACCTCACTACCGCTGAGTTGCAGAACTAACCCACACTCGTTGCTATGAATGAGAAGTACTGTGATACCAAAATGAAAGGCCATCCAAATTGGCAATGATTTGTATACTGTTCTGAACAGTCAATGGATTGTGTACGTAGAAATGGGTCTGAAATTGAGTACCCTGACACCCACATACTGTATATGTAGACATATACATAATGCAACACCAAGGAAGTAACGTTAGACTTAACAAAGCCTAATGTCTCCAAGCCCATGCTGAGATAACGCTAATGAGATCCACAGGGAAGATTTTCTCAAATTGTGGAGTGCTGGCATGAGAATAATTTCAGATTTGACCATAGATTCTTAAAATGTTCTATTAGGGCCAATATAAATAATCATTTCTAATCCTGAGTCATCACAGTCCCTCTCCAAAGTCTGTGATCCTCCTGCACCTTAGCAGTCTAGGCTGCATTTTACCAGTCTGTTGACAGAAGGCTGGTCACATAGCGGGAGTGTTTGATGTGAGCAAGTTGCATGCTGTGGTGTGATGATGCTGGAGAGGCTGTGTGCCAAACTGTTTTATGAACATCTACCCATTTTGTAAATTAATTAGTATTCTGAAACACCAAAAACAACAATACATACTGTCTCCAGTTCCAAACAAAGGTGCCAACAGTGCCATTTTGTAAATAATCCTCTCCCACACAAGCATCCACAGAATATCAAAAAGACAATAAATGTTGTTTTGTCCATTCATACTCAGATAAATAAATTACCAATATAATGCCTTGTTTTAGTCTTGTATAGAGTATGTTGTATATACAATGCAAGTAGCCGCTCTATGCACAGAAACGAATACTGAATCTAAGCATTTCTGACTGTCGACAGAAAATGTTGTCATGCTTAGGCTTACTCATTGATCTTTTTGTCTCCTTGGTGAATTTGGTGCAGGTTGGAGCTGTCCAATAGTCCCTCCTGTTGGAGAATACAGGTGTCTCCATACAGACTCAGCTTCTGCAGGTTTCTAGAGAATGAAAAAGAGAGAATGTTAGAAACACAGAAAACAAACAAGAAGTATTATATACTAGATTAATCTATGCTAACAAGTCAACTCAGCAATTTTTATATTTCTGTGAGCTGAGCGCTCTCCTTTGAGCTGACCAACGGGTTACTGCTTAGACAGTTACCATGTAAGCAATATATTCAAAATACAAATGAAAATGAAAACAAATGGGTTGCTTTTGTCCTGTGTTGTCAACAGGTTTGAATGGAACATTCAAATTAAAAAAGCTAAAGTTGTGCCTTCAACCTAGTCATATAGCAATAACCTCAAAAGGATGGTTTCGTTGTCATCTGTTTGCTCTGTCAACATTTGTTAAAGTCATGCTGCAAGTAGTGTATCTGGTTCTTCTTGAGCATTAATTCACTCAACAGAAGCAACAGTAGCTAGACTGAGGGGAGAGTTTTGACATCTTCAATCCAAGGAACTCCGAGGGGGGGGGGTTACCTCTGTAGCCATTTTGTGCCATCTAATCTAGGCCTAGATCTGTATATTGCTGGGTTGCCTCCTATCATGACAGAATTATGGCTACCCTATCTTGCTTTGCTGCACTGCTTTATATCCTGGTTCCCATTTGGTAGCTGGCAACAATCAAGCAGCAGACTATATGCCAAAAGTTGATTATTTTAAAAAGGCAGTCAATGTAAGCAGAGGTCACAATGCACCCAGTCAAAACAGATCTGTTTTGACACTGAAGTTTGGAAGATTACCAATGTAAGTTGTGGGAAAGGATTATCAACCACACGTGAGATGTGCAGCCACATATGACATATGCCTATCTACAAGGTACTGTGTACGTTATGTTTCATGCAGCCCACTTCCTGTAAATCAGCTGAAAGCTAAGCTTCACAAAATTCCTCTGCAGTGAAACCACCAGCAGTCTCATGTGCAGCTACTTAGTGCGCAAACAACCTAATAAAGGAACAATGAGTTATCTATTCTCGTTATATTGAACATGTCTGGTACATGTTCAATATAATGAGAATAACAGTGGAGTTAGATTAATGTTAACTTATCGAAAAACTGACTTTTCGTCACCTGATAACATGAGAGTAAAAGTTTGACATGGCAGCTGGCATTTGTCAGAGGTCAACTGGTTTGAATTGATAGAAATGGTGACTAGCAATAAAATAACAGCTGAGTATGTCATATCTTATTATGACATAATGATAAAATACTCACTTGCCCAGTAAACATATCATTGCTAGTTTGCTTCTGGTAGTCTGGAAATAAGACACTGAACCAGGCCTGCAGAAATGCACATTTTACTTAAGAGCTGAATTCTGGTTTCATACTACAATGTGCTACTCTACATGATGTATCTAATACTTATCTACATGACATGTTTAGTAGACAAGAAATAAACATACCTCTCTTGTACTGACTAGAAATGCACTGTAATCTTGGTTAATTTCCACATCCTGAGATGGCGGTAGCTTCCAATATTATCCACCAACACATTCACAAATTAAGCAAATTCAGTATGCATAATGTCTGTGTGTACCTAATTCAGTCACCTTTCTAGTGTGAATACACTGCTAAACAAAACCATGTTAGAATTACTGTACAGCACAAAAAGTAGGCAATGAGAAGGAGTCAGACAACAGAAAAGCTTTCAGCCCCCTCAGCAGAACTAAGACATGAACTGCTCAGCTTTGGATGGGGTGCTATTTCCACACCACAAAGGACTGTAGAGAATAATGGAGAATGTGGGAGAAGGTATGACAGAAGTTGGATTCAGGGATCTTAACATTCACAGTAAAGTTTTACACAGAATAGTAACTACCATAGCAGGAATGAGCCAAGTGGCAAGATTGTTTACGTATGCAGCAAATATTGGATTATATCCTACATTACGCATCGACATACCAGAGCTAAATGCATATACACATACACTGTATATGTGCGTGTCAGTGCTGATATCAGCAAGTCACAGCCAACAAAGCCTTCTCTAGCCACCACCAGTGCTGCATTGTATGTATTGGTATGAAGACCCCAATGTAACATAGAAAATAGAACTGGCAACAAAAGAAACGCAGACGAGCGTTTGACTTGGCACTGACCCTGAAGCATACATCATATTTAACTACTGTATTTGTAAAGCTAAGCCGTAAAATACTGTGACATCAACAACATCTTCAGGAATTTAAAGATAACGTTAGCCACTAACTCCACTGCAAATACATGACCCGATTACGTAACTCCTAATGTCATGGTTTGTTTATAGCTAACTAAGCTAGCTAGCAGCTAGCTTACTGCGACGCACTAAATACTCATAAAATGACACAAAATGAGAGAGTGTCATGCCAAACCCTGAAATTGAATAAAAACAAACAACCAGCAAGAGACGTCAACGTTACCTGTTGTTGCGGATGCTGGTGAAAACACACAACACCTGGTCCAAGTAGGTGGCCATGGCGTCTCTCCATCGCTCGGAGAGCTGCGGGTCGTTATCGGGAGCGGGAGGCTGGTCCATCCTGGTGGAGGACGGGTCGCTGTTCAGAGGGCTAAGGTAGCCTTCCACCGGTGCGAGTTCAAGCTGCAGCTCCCGCACGAAGGAACCAAACTTCCGCATGAGGAACTCCAGTTTCGGGGTCCCCTCGGAAATGGACCCGCCGCCGTTACAACCACCACCTATTCGCAGTTTAAGCTCGGTCCACAGCGCGGGGTAGAAGAGACACTCCCTCCATCGTGAACACACGGCCGAGGCCCGGAGCTTGTCTCGGTCGGACAGAAAGGAGAATATGTGGACGATAAGCTCGCTGGGTAAAGCCATGGCTCCAACACCCCCGCACAGAGCCATGGCGAGCTAAGAAAGCAGCTGTCAGAAAACCAAGCAGATATAAAATAAATGTTACAACCGTTTTTAAAACCTGGTGCAGCGGTGTCGATTATCAGCAACGCTTCTTCCTCTCGGTGAAAACAAACCGTTTTTCAGCTTCGCCTTCAATACTATTGGACCGCACCACTGCTTTTCAATGCACGGGGAACAAAACAATCCTCACAAATATTAAACATATGTATGTAACGGTACATGTGCCGGTATCTGTGTCTGGTAAATGTATGCTTTTATTTATTCAACTATATTAAGGCTTAGTGATACTGGGAAGATAAGATTTTTGGTAATCTGTGATTGCGTCACCTCGTTGTCAAGTAAGTGGTTTAGTCCTGAAGTGCTGTTATTTTTGCCATACTGCCGTACTCCACGAAGGGGCGATGTTTCTCGTCAGTCCAAAACCAACACGTGATCTTTATTTTGGAGCTGGTTCCCACCCCAGACACAACCACTCCAGTACACACCCCTCTCCAAAGAGAGATTACAGACAGTGAACAAAACCACCCCGCAACACACTTACAGTGACAACAGTATGTTCAACAGTGAACAAAAATACATTGTTGTTGTGCTAAAGAACTTGTGAAGCATATCATTTTGTACACACACACACACACACTGTTATGTGCACAGGCATAAACAGGTGACATATGTGTATATATATATATACTGTGAATGTGAACCAGTAATAAGGTAAGTAAGGAGGTGGAGCCAGTGCAATATGTATGTAGTGTACCAGTAAGCAGTGGTGAAAAGTAACTTAGGTACAATTTTACAACTTTAGTTTCTAGTTACTTTGCAGATTTAGTTGAATAATACAACATTTCAAAAATAACAAAATAACCAACAAATAAATTATGATGTAATATTACAGATTATGATATAATATAGTAAGAAAATTTACAGGCTACACAGCAGATAGACTATAAAGTAGTTAAACCACCTTTACCAACTGCAACATTAAAGTGAGGTACACATTAATGCATATCAATATACATTATTCAGAAATGTGCCATAAGTAGTTTTGGTACTTTATTTTGATGCTAATACTAAAGTAAAATCTTAAATTGATGACTGTTACTTGTGGTAGTATTACTACATTTACTTAAGTACACGATCTGAGTACTTTTTCCATTTCTGTATCTCCCTTGATTGATTCCGTCATGGATAGATATAGATAGTGTTGATAGAAAGAAGTTATGCATACTACATACTATATGTGGGTTTTAAGGGACTTTCCAATTGTCCAATGTGACCATCTTCCTACCCCCTGTTTTTTCTGGGTTTAAAAAGACTTATTCTGGGTTCTACAAAGCAATCCAGACAACTCTTTTGCATATGGTGTCAAAGTTGTCTTAGGAGCAGTTTAGCCACTATACATTTTACAACACCTGCAACTGATTCACCACTGAAAAAGTTCCACTTTAACCCAGCCCATAAAAACAGTCTCACAATACAGAGAATCAATTTGGATACATGAGTGTTTTATTGAATGCAACACCAAACGTTAAGTTGAGAAAGCAGGGTGACAAAGTGGAGTAAGCATCATTTTTTCTTGTCTAGGAAACCCTTGAAATACTGCAGGAACATCCAGTCTGGTGACAGAGAAACAGCGAGTTTACACAACAACATACATTACTTTCTTTGTCTTTATATTTAAACCTAATTCTAGGTCTCACACTCACCTTTTTCCCCCCAAAACTATGTGAACAGCCGCTACTCAGGTTCGAGTACAGTAGAGAAACAATGGTTAGTAAGATAAACTAGAGGTTTTGAATAAGTGATATTATACGTCTAATTGGGTAGCATACCATATATGTTTGTAGTTTACATAATAACAGGACATATATTACATTTGCTGTCCTTATATTATGTCCTATTCTACTATTTTCATCCACAGTGAACTTAGGCGTTGAAAATGATACATAATTAGTAAGATTTACAACCTCTGTATCAGGTGTAGCATACTAGGTTACTTTCTTGTCAGGAGCTAATACTCACCATCTTCGTCCACTGTTATCGACAGCAGCTCAGGTGGTGGAGAAAGATAGGAGGAGAGAAAAATAAATACTGGTTAGTAATATGAACAGATCTCTCTGAATTCCAAAATAATAAATATTACATGAATAGAATATAAACTCAAATGATTGAATTAGCGATGATATACAGCTAAGTCAGAAGCTCATACTTACTTTTTAGTACACAGTAGACGGCAGCAGCTCAGGTGATGCAGTGAGACAATGATAATGAATGGTTAGTAAGAGTTATAATCTTAATCGATAAATAAGTGATACTGGATAGATAATCAGGTGTAGTATGCAGCTAGTTCACACAATATTTAAGATTTCTTTCTTGACATTTTACAAGCTCATATTTAAATTTTTTCCCTTTGAATTATTAAATGAGTGATATTTTATGAATAAACATGGTTTGACAATCACATATATTACTTTCTCTGTCTTTATATTTATTAATTCATATATAAGTAATTGGCTTACAATTTAGAAGCTCAGACTTACCTTTTTTGTCTGTGTTAAGTCAATCGCAGGAGCTCGTAGAAGATGTCCTCTGTTCAATCAGGGTTGGTGGGTTGTTCTCCAGGTTCTCCTGGCTGGATGAACTCCACAAAACATCTAACTGCTCCTGCAGAACAGCCCACAGGGAGCTTTCTTGGTGGTAACAGAATGAAGTGCTTTGTTTTATAGTCATTATAGCAGCTTTTTGCCTCTCTCTCTCTCTTCAGACGACCAAGCGGAAGGTTCCTGTCCTGCCACGTGCACGAGGTGTTGACTACCCTGCCAGACGCAAGGGCTTCCTGAGGCATCACCGGCCCAGCCAGACGCAAAGGACGGTCCTCAGGATGAAAGAAAAGTCGATCCAGCCATCGTGCCAAAATCATGAGGTAGGACAAAAGCCCAGTGCAAGACGCTAACTGGGGTGCTCACAGCCCTGCCAGACGCAAAGGCTACCTGGGGCTTTGGTTGCCCAGCCAGACGCAAAGGTTAAAAAGGGTCCCCCCCCCAAAAAAACCCCAATTAAAAACGGTTAATCCATCGTCCCTATGACAGGACGTAACAGGTTCCAGTGCAAGACGCTATCTGGCCTGTCCAGCCCTGCCAGACGCAAAGGCCAGTCATCAGTTACAAAAAGGTTCACTGCAGATGTTCTGCTGTGGTGAAGTTCTTGATAGCTGTGGTGTGGAAGTGCTGAAGGGCGAAATGTGGAAAAGTGATTGCTGTGATGTTTCCAGGAGGATTTTCAGCCTGTCCATTATAGAGTCAATCCGAGTCGCTCTCATCAGACCACCGTGGCCTCTTAGCGGCAGCCTCCTCTCCGTCACTGTCTTCCCTGCGTCTCCTTGTGGAGGAGCTGAGGCCAGAAGTTGAGGAAGGCGAGAGTGGGCCGATGTTGTCAACAGAGCTGACAGCAACGGCATCCTGGGCAAGGACCTCAATCTCTTCCTCATCCCCCTCGTCATCTTCCACTAGAGGTGGCCCGTGCCGGTACATGGCAATCAACTGATCGACAGCTTCACCGAGATCAGCGTCATGAACAGGGTCAGCGTCAGGAAAAGCAGGAGCAGCATGAGGAACAGGGTCAGCAGCAGGAAAAGCAGGAGCACGTTGAGGAGAAGCACGAGGAGAAGCAGGAGCAGCATGAGGAACAGGGTCAGCAGCAGGAAAAGCAGGAGCAGGTTGAGGAGAAGCACGAGGAGAAGCAGGAGCAGCATGAGGATGAGCATAAGGAGCAGCATAAGGATCAGCATGAGGAAAAGCAGGAGCAGCATTAGGGAAGTAATCAGGGTGAGGATGCGGAACAGCAAAAGGAAGAAAAGGAACAGCATAGGGAACAGGGTAGGGAGCAGGGTAATAAACAGGAACAGCATAGTGAACAGGGTAGGGAACAGCGTAGTAAAGAGGAAAAGGAACAGCATGACCTGGTTGCCCCCCCATCCCATTTTGTGGTGGTGGGCTGGCATTTTCTCCAGGCTCAACCTCAACCTCCTGAAGCCCAGGGCTAACTGGGTCATCGGGAGGCCTCTGAGCAGCGGAAGGCCAAAAGGAGACACCTAAGGAAGAAAAAAAGTATTAAAACATCACATCCTGCACTTCCACAAAACAGACTTTAAACATGAGGATTAAAGGTAGGGTAAGGGATTCTAGGTGTGTGATTCTAATCCAATACACTTTTTTCAAATTCAGCAAATATCTCCTCAAGGTCAGCTTGCCTAGCTGTGTGTTCTGAGAAATGCTATTGATCGGACTAGCTCTAGCTCTGTAAGTGCTCCTGAAATTGTTGCAAGATGTTGTAGCAACTGACAAAGGTTTACACCACTTGGACTTGTGGAAACAAAGCTGCCCTGCAGATACATTGACCAAGGAACTGTTTGCAGCACATGTTAAATTGTGATGAATTTATTAGAGGCCGATACATGTCCTATTGCAGGCATATTGGTATTGTATCTGTGTCATCTGATATGTGCTGATATAAAAACTGTTATATTGCAGTAGTTAATGTATTTTTTTACAGCATTGATGTTTAGCTATTTATTTTATTTTAATCAATTCTTAATTAACATGTTAAGGAATCATATATATATTTTCTTTTCATATATATACACGACATTTAGTACTACTGTCTGTATGGCGTAACGGTCTATTTAATCCACATTTGCATAACACAATTCCGCAAAATAACCCTGTTTACGTTCCTGTTTTTGCCTCCATACATAGGCTATCTTGTTTCTTATAACCAGAATAAAATAATAAAAACCGAACAAAAGGTCACACTTTTGTCACACTGCATCGTATTTCAGTTTTATAAAAAATGACTTGGAAATGATCGTGCATTGTCGGGAATAGGTGGTTCTGATATATTCGGTGTATTTGTTGTGGCACTGTGGGAACCGTGTGTTTCTATGAGGATGTATACTTTGCAACAAGCTGGGTAAAACACTAAGATGTCCGTGCGCCATTACGCACGCCAAACCGCGGTTACCTTGATCCAGTCATATGCAATTAACAACAGGTCTTCTCCAAAATAACCACAAAACAATCTGTGCTTTCTGGCACGGCAAACTAGTTGCTTA